TTTCCGTGCTGTATATCTCTACGACTGACTGACTGGGGAGAAACTTGATCGAATTTTTTTTTGAAGAAGTGACAAAGAAGATTGATGTCAGGGTGACAGACATCGTATAGACGATCTTCAAAGTGTTCGACAAGGTTCCACAAGGTAGACTGAATAGTAAGGTTAGATCACATGGGACCCAGGGGAGCTAGCCAACTGGATACAAAATTAGCTTGAAGGTAGGAGACAAGAGGGTGGTGGTAAAGGGTTGCATGTCAGGTTGAAGGCCTGTGACCAATGGCATGCTCCAAGGATCAGTGCTGATCCACTTCTTTTTGTCATTTATATAAAGAATTTGGACGAGAGTATAGAAATATGGCTAGTAAGTTTGCAGGTGACACCAAAATAGATGGTGTAGTGGACAGTAAAGAACATTGTCTCAGAGTACAATGGGAACTTGTTCAGATAAGCTAATAAGCTGAGGAGTGGCAGACAGAGTTTAATGTAGATAATTGTGGGTGTCGCATTTTGGTAAGGCAAACCAAAGCAGGGCTTAGACACTTAATGATAGCGTCGTGGAGAGTATTACCAAACAAAGAGACCTAGGAGTGCAGGTGGATAGTTCCTGGAAAATGGAATCACAAGTCGACAAGGTAGTGAAGGTGGTGATTGGCACGCTTGCCTTCACTGGTTCGAACATTGAGTATAGAATATTGTGTTCAGTTGTGGTTGTCTTTTTGTAGGATGAATGTTGTTGAACTTCAGAGGGTGCAGAAAAGATTTTCAATGAAGTTGCCAGGACTGGAGGGTTTAAGTTATAGGGAGTGGCAGAATAGGCTGGAGCACGTTTCCTTGGAGCATCGGAAGCTGAGGGGTGACCTCAATGGTTTATAAAATTATAAGGGGCATGGATACAGTGAATAGCCAAGGTCTTTTTCCTGGCATGGGGGAGTCCAAAACTAGAGGGTGGTGCATGTCTGGTACAAGCTGCCAGACGAAGTGATGGAGACTGGTACAATTACAACATTTCAAAGGCATCTGGATGGGTATGTGAATAGGAAGGGGTTAGAGAGATAAGGGTTAAATATTAGCAAGTGGGACTAAGACAGATTGGGATGTCTGGTCAGCGCAGACAAGTTGGACCAAAGGGTCTGTTTCCATTTAAAGTTTTAGCAAAGATCTGTAGCTTGGATTTTGGGCGAGATTGTTGACTTGCTTGCCGAGCTGGCTTTTTTTGAACAAAAACAAGCCAGCTCAGTGAGCAGGTCTGTTTCCATGTTGTATGACTCTGAGCATGGAGGTATAAATAGATAGGAATTTCTGCCTACTCATGGAATTGAGCACACCTAACATTTTACCATTTTATGGCACATAATGCTTAGTTAAACTTACTTCAGTTGTGTTTTGTTCAAATTGCATTCTTTCCAGACTTTCTGAACCATCTGATTGGTTACTTTCTGAGGAATTCTACCAGAATGTTTTGGGCTTGATGCAGTTGCCACTCCTTCTTGTCCATTCATTTGGCCAGTGACAGTCTGTGCAATCCCATCACCTGCTTTACAAAAAAAGCAAACATGAAAGTCATGACAGTATCCAAATAATACTCAAGATGGACTTCTGTTAGTTGTTAAAGTTCTTGTACCTAGCGAGTATAAAATCTGTCACAGGCTAAGAGGAGATAAACATTTTTTACAAAACGGGGAAAAAGACAAGTCTAAAAGTAGATCAGAAGTGGACCTTGCCAACCTTCTCAGTTTATTGTAAAGTATATTTTTGCTTTCAACATGCAGAGAAAGTTTTTAAGTCAAGAATAATTCTGCTTCTTAAACTCAAGGACATTTAGTGAAATTTTACACACTGAACATTTACATCTGCCTGGAAATAAACCGCATCATGTATCATGGCAGTGAGAAAAAGTAATGAAGTTTAAGTAGTCCTCTAGGTTTTATGGCAAATTTGGTTCAACAGCCAGATTTCCTGACTAGTGTGATGCTTAGTTTGTCCAAGAAGTCATCACCTGCAATAGGTTTTAAAATCAGACCATTCAGTGTTTCAGCCATCTTAATGCAACATACATAAAATACTTTTGTCCAGTTATCATGCATGTGGGATGTACTTTTGTTTCTTAGTTTTGTAATAGTTTTGAACTTGAGGCAATTTTCAGTGACAACGTAATATTACTCAGCTCAACAAAAATTTTCTATTGATATTTTTTCCCTTTGACTAATTTCACTAGAATACTTGTACGTATATTCATAATATATGAATAAGGAACAGAAGTCAGTCACTTGGTCCTTGAGCCTGCTCCAGCAGGCAATAAGATTATGGCTGATCTGTTTATGTTTTGAATTCCACATTCCCCATTCATCTCCAATAAACTCTGGTCCCTTTGTCTAACAAGAACCAAGCTACCTCTGCTTTACTAACATTCAACGAATACCACCCTCTTGATGCAGAAGTTCCAAAGTCTCAACCCTTAGAAAATAATTCTTATCTCTATCGTAAAAGGGCAACCTCTAATTTTCAAACAGTGCATTTGGTTTGCATAAATTTTGTTGAGAGCAAAGTGAGGGCACTCACCACTGGCTTCAAATTGCAAGCAGCTTTTAAGATTAGTGGCAAGAAAAAGTCTTTGTGATGTTAACTTCACTTTTATAACATTCATTTCATTTTGCCATTGCTACAGTAGATACCCAACATCCAGTAACAGCTATGTCATCCAGCAGGTTATGTAGTCAATCTTACTTAAGAATTCGCTAATGGCAAACCAGGAAATGATAAAGGCAGAACAGTCACTTGTGGAAGTGGTATAGTAAACAAAAGGTGGGGTGGATTATAAAAAAAGAAACAATGGGAGCTTGTCAGAAAGGTATAGTGTTAATCATTGGGGATCTTAATCTACCTAGAGTTTCAAAAAATCATTTGAGTGAAGGTAGCCTAGATGAGGAATTTATAGTATGTTTTGGGGATAGATTCTGAGAATAGTAAATTCTGGAGTTGATCACAGAGCAGGCTTTCCTTGATCCAGTATTGTGCAAAAGAACGGGATTAATTAATGACCTCATCGTGAAGACACTCCTATGTAGCAATTACCATATTATGATTGAATTTTAGTTCAGTCTGAGGGGGTGAAGACAGAGTCCAAGATTAATAGTTTAAAATTAAATTAGGGCAATACAAGGGCATAAAAATAGAACTAAAGTGTAATGGCAATTTTGGTTAAGGGACAGGTCACTACAGATGCAGTGGCAAACACCTATATGGACATTACAGGATACTCAAAATAGATACATTCTAACTGGAAGGAAAAATCCTTGTGGGAAGATCTACTATCTATGGTTAATTTAAAAAAAAAGTAAAGATTCCATTAAACTTAAAAAAAAAAGACATACTTGCACAAAGATGGGTGGCAAATCAGAACATTCACAAAATATAGAAAACTGCAAAGAATGACCAAAAGATTAATGAGGGGAAAATGTGAGAAGAGACGAAGACAACCAGAAATATAAAAAAGCAGGTAAGAATTATAGATAAGATGTTTTGAAAAGGAAGGGATAAAGTGAATAGGAAACAAATAATGGAAAAATAAGAGGATACAATGGTATTTTGCATCTGCTTTGCAATGAAGGGTATGGGTAACAAACCAGAAATTGCTCCAAATCAGGAAATGGAAGAGGGGGACAAATAGGAAAATTAAAAATCACCAGGCAAGTGGTAAGGGCAAATTGTTGGAGCTGCAGATGTAAAAGGTCCCTGGGTCCTCATGGAATTGTTCCTAGGATCTTCAAGGAAGCAGCTAGAACTAATTGATGCATTAGTTTTAAATTTCCAAAATTCTCTACGTTTGAAGAGGGTTCCTTTAGATTCCAAGATAGTCAATCAACTCAATTTCTTCAAAGATTAGGAGAGACAGAAAGCTGGAAGCCACAGGCCAGTTGACATAACATCTACTGTAAGAAAGATGTTAGAATCTAAAGACATGATAGCAGGACACTTAGAATAGTTCAAGATAACCAGGCAGAGTCGCATGGTTTTCCAGAAGAGAAATCATGAGTAACAAATTTATCGGAGATCTTTGAGTAGGTGACATCGCTAAAGGGGTTATGGTGGATGCACTGCACTTAGACTTCAAGAAGGTATTTAATAACATGCCATATCAAAAGGTTTTGATAGTCAATAAAAGCTGACAGTGTACAAAAAGTACCACCAATGTAAAAACGGCAACAAATCTAACTACTTAGTCAGGGTGCGTCGAAGTCCAAAGTGATAAAGAGAGAAATTCACAATTTTTTTCAACAGATGAATCAGACTGAAGCAGAGTAAACACATCAGTCTACATTTCAAAACAGCACACCTAATTTGAGCTTGCTTGAAAACTTTCCTTAGGTACAAGCATATCTAAAATTAATAATGAATTCTCAAAATAATTAAGCATTTATGACCCTAAACATCAAAAAAATCCGATGCTGAAATAAGTGAAAGATTGCTTCAGATCAAAGGAAGTTGATTATAAGAGTGCCAGAAATAGTGGCAATGTTGAGCATGGGAACAATTCATGACCCAGCAAATAAGTCCAAGAAACTGATATGGAGAGGGTATGGAGATCAAGAAAGCAAGGTAGTGAGGAACATAAAGGCAGATTGCAAAAACTTATCAATATCTGAAAGGAAAGGTTTGACAAAAATAAATGCGGCCCCACAATAATGGGAGACAGGAGAATTTATAACAGCAAACAGGGAAATGGTGGAGAAACGAAACAAATACACTGCAGATAACAATGTGTAGAGCTGGATGAACACAGCAGGCCAGGCAGCAGAGGAGCAGGAAAACTGAGGTTTCGGGTCTGGACCCTTCTTCAGAAAAATGGTCCAGAATTGAAACGTCAGCTTTTCTGCTCCTCTGATGTTTCCTGGCCTGTGTTCATCTAGCTCTACACCTTGTTATCTCAGACTCCAGCATCGGCAGTTCCTACTATCACAAATACAGAAAATTGCCCAGAAATACCAGATGACCAAAGGATGTGTACAACTGAAAAAGTAAAAGAAATTAATTTGTAAGTGGGGAGTACTTGAAAAATTAGCTTGATTAAGGAGTTGATAAATATCCTGGGCCAGACCACCATCACCCCAGGGTTTTGAAGGAAGTAGTGAAAGAGATAGCAAATGCATTTGTGTCTATCTTGCATCATGCTATAGTTTCTAGAAAGGTTCCTGCTGACTAGAAGGTAGCAAATGCTACCTCACTTTTTAAGCAAAGGAAAAGAGACGATGGAGAACTGAAGGCTGGTTACCATGCCATCTATAGATGAAGTGTTAGAATCTGTTATAAAGGATAATGATAGCAGTACTTTTGGAAAATAACAGCAAAAGATGGACAGAATCAACATGGATTTAAAAAAGAAATAGCGTTTGACAAACACTATTTTTGAGGATTTTTTTTTGAAGCGTGAAAGAGAACCAGTAGATACGGTGCATTTGGGTGTTCAGATGGCTTTCAATAAAGTCAGTTGAGAGATTTGGAGAAATATACTAGCATGGATTGAGAACTGGTTAATAGAAAGCAGAGATTAGAGAATAAAAATATTCTTGCGATGTTTACTATTACTGGAGGCAAATGACAAGTATCACTGCTAGATCCACAACAGTTCCAAACTATGTGAATGATCTGGATTTGGGGATCAAAAATAATATTTCCAAATTTGATGATACCAAACTGTGAGGGAACCCAAGTTGTGAGGGGGTGCAAGGTGGCTTCAAGAGGACTTTGACAGGCCGAATGAATGGTAAAATACGGCTGATGAAATATGTGAATCAGTGTGACAGACCTCTACTTTGATCGAGTAAACAGAAAAGCAGAATATTTATTAAGTGGTGAAAAACTGGGAAGTACAGGTGCCCAAAATGATTCGCGTGCCCATGTCCATGAGTCATTAAAAGGGGTGCAACAAGCAATTAGAAAGGCAAACAGTATTTTGGCATTCATTTCAAGGGAATTTGAGTACAGAAATGAAGATGTCTTACTGCAGTTGCACATAGCCTCGCTGAGATCTCATCTGGAGTACTGTGCACACTTTTTGTCTTCTTGCCTAAAGGAAATATATCCTTGCCAGAGGACTTGCAACAACGGTTCATCCAGTTACTACCTGAGGTGGCAGTACTGTTTTGGGAGGTTGAGAAAACTCTACTGTGTAGAATTTCTAACAATGAGAGACGATTTCATTGAAATTTGCAAACTTCATGCAGAGCGGGACAACGCGGATATAGATAGGTCGTTTTCCCTGGCTGTGCTTCTTAAAACTGAGGAACTAACCTCAGTAGAAGGGTAAGGTCATTTAACACAGACATGGTGGAATTTCTTCACTGAAGGTAGTAAATATTTGGAATCCTCTACCCCAGAGGGCTCTGGAGGCACAATCACTGAGCATGTTCAAGACAGAAACGGATAGGTTTCTGGAGACTAATGATATTAAGGGATATGGAGATAATCCCGAAACTGACATTGAGGACATGATCAGCCAGGATCTAGAATGGTGGATCAGGCCTGACGGTCTATTCCTGTTCCTATCAAAGAATAATACATAAAACAGAAAATCATCTTGCAACTCTACAAATTTAAGGTTTAATCTATGGAATTGGGTTGTGATTTTAAAACAATGTTAAAGTTCCTCATTTTTGTTTTTAAAAGGAATCCATAATTAAATCGACTTTTTGTCAAAGTATTTACTCATGACACTACAGAATTTAGTGGTTGATTAATTGGACTAGATTGGCATTGTAATAATTACACCATGCATACAGCGTGGCTCAATTTGCACATCTAAAAATATAAATAAATACCATTTTTTCATCAGTATGGATGAAGGTATTCTAAATGAAAAAGGCAAGAAAAGGCAAGTCAAATGAAATTTGTCCAACTTTCATAAAAGTAATAATTTAAAAATCTGCGATTGCCTAACAACATCAGTAGGGGGAGCTCACAGTTCAAAATTAAATTAAGCCAACCCATTTTTGCACAGTGATGCCAAAAAAGCAGGTCACTGCTATTTGTAGAATTACTTGTAATCAAATGATTATAGTGCACAAGCTCAGAAAAGCAAAAGCTGACTATACTCAATACATTCTATTTTTCTTTAAATAAAATGTGCCACTTAAAGTTACGCGCCCAATACACTTGTTTAAAAAATAAGATAGAGGACAAGCAGTTTAATGTACTTTATTTTAAACATGGCCACAGGATAGAGGAAAAATGGATAATACTTAAATAGTTACTTTTCAAACTTCCATTTTAACACATCAGTAAAGTTAGGCATTGCATATTGATATAAACATTCCATTTAAAAACTCATATTTTCTACAGTGCCATTGACAATAGGCTTTACTAGAAGGTTAGATTCGGCTAGGGATAAGACTGATACAGGATACTAAAATTGTCTAGTCCAATATCCAAAAATCTCTGGTTTAATAAGAGCAACTTTTCAATAAAATTGGAATGAAAGCAGAAATTAAATACTAATGTCAGTTTTGTTCATGGATCAGTTTACAATAAGTTAACAATTTATCAAGTTACAGAATGATTCCAAACATTACACTGAATTGGACTTCAGAGGGGGCTCTATTATTTTCACATTTTACCCAACTCTCTATAAATGATTTAATGTTAGAAAATGTGCAGTTTCTATCACATAACATCTATTAAAGGAGTTAGAGATTAAAATTCACTGAATGCATTTCACAACTTAAAACATCAATGTGGTCACATTGGAAGTTATGATGTTTTGCATCACATGGTAAATACTCATACACGAAAAACAGGTTGCTGTGCTGTCATATCCCAAAAGGAAGAGCAGAACTATGATGGGGAGAAAACAAAATCAAGAAGGAAAACAAAACATCCATGACACATCCTTTTGAATCAGGATAGAACAACTTTCAGGGCACTAAGATCAAATAAATCAATATTCACATCTTGCGACTGACCTAAATATTTAATATACTTGGTTAAAAGTGTCCCAAACTTGCACAGCATTTATTCATCTAAGTAGCTTGCTATCGTAGAAATGTGTAGCATCTAAATTTCACAAAGTGGGGCTGGTAAGGAAAGAGAAGGGCAGAAAAGATTAAAGTTTTACTTCAAAATGCTTATAAAATGGATTATCTGCTCTGTATCCTGAAACCTTGGTTCATGTACACCAACGAAAATTCTCCCCCCCATAATTATGAAGAGCCTTTGCATAAATCTGCAAAAAAGGTTTCTAAACAAAAGTGGAGAAAAGTGATTAAAAAATGAAAATACATTCCAGGTAGAAACTTTTCAGGAACTGTATTGGTCACCAATTTAGGCCAGTGAACTCAAAATCAAAGCTACAGAACTCAACGAATGTTTAATATGTGTCTGTTGGCACAATTGGTGATGGTAAAATAATTATTTTGCAACAAAATATAACAAGTATAAATCACTAAAGTTAAGATATAACGAACTCCACTATTTGTGGAGAACATACCTATTATAGTCTGCTCAGGAGAGGTGGGTGGTGTGAGTGGCAATCCACAACTTAAGGAGTCCTTCACACTTACTGATCCTTGTGTTGGATTTGTATGGCCTCCTGCATTAGCAGCATTTGAAACTACAGGGATATCCCCCTGAGGAATCAATACGAAAGCTGATGGGTATACCATTCTCACTCCACCTACAGAAATGCAAAAACAAATAATTCTGCACAAATAATAATACAAGGAAGCGTTAAAGCAAAACGCTGGGAGATCACAGTGCAACTTCATCTGAACATAACAGGTGATACGTTTGGTTTACAAAATCAAAAGGAACATTCCTCTCCTTTTTTGGCGAGCAGTAAAATATTAAAACCTTAATTTCAAATAAGAGATTATATACACATTAGAAGATTACAGTTTCGAAACAATTATCCAAATATAAGCAATTTCAAAGTATTTAAATTATTTGTTATATCTCGATACTATGGCCTTTAAGACGTGTGTTTTGTCCTGGTTTTCTTTCATGAAGTGAGCTTGAGAAAGAGATACCGATCAGTCTGTTCTGAGCCAATAAAGCAAACAGCTTGTGAGGCCTTGGGTTTTTGTTTTAAAAGGCCGGAACAGAAGCAACATGAATGGGTAGAGTCAGGGTTCCACAGAACTAGGGCTTTAGTTTAGCTTTCGGTAGTTATTGGGGTTTTCAAGCTGCCAAACATCTCTCTCGGCTACAGTTAAAAGCTTCAGTTCTCTCTCTCTGCCAGAATTTTGTCTTGATGCTCTTTTCTCCTGGGTTGGAGAAATGTTCCATGTGAGATAATCTATTTGATTGCTTTGCATTTGCCAAGGGTGTATTTTTGGGATGTTTCTATATTGGAACAGTTTCTGTTTACTAGTTAAATAGCTTATTATTCTGTTAAGTTTTCCAATAGGGTTAAAATTTCAATCAATTCTTCTTTCTTTTGTTTTATTTTAACTATAGGGTAAGAGTAAAGCGTATTTTGCTTACAGCCGAGTAGTGTAACTAACTGAATTACATCTGGAATACTGCACCTTACATTTGCCTTTAAATAAGCTAAAAGTTTAGGCGTAGGCCATATCTGGACATATTTGAAGGGGGCTTGGTCTGGTCCATAACAGTTATGGGGTGCTACTGTACAAGTGGTAGTGAGTGTAATTTCACCCTTCTTTTCAGCTAAAGGCACAAACAAGAAAAATGCAGTTTCTTCATCATCACAACTGTTTTTTCAAGCAGATCTTCCACACATCACTCTCAACAGCGATAAAAGCCATTACCATAAACAGAAACTATTTGTGACTACGCAAGTTACAGAAGGATTACATCTCATCAATTCTGACTTGATGACTGATTAAATACAAAATACACAAAAAGTTCTCTTCACACGTGAATGTAGTCACAGCTTACAACTGAACTATCGATCATAAAGAGCTAAGACTTGTGGTGATTATTGCAAAGCAATAGTATGCTGCTCAATTACTTAATTTTAATATTACATGTTATCAAAATTTGGACAACCAAAAAAAATTCTAGTTTCTTTCTGAAATTTTGTTTTGTTTTAAAACATGAGTGGAAAATGTGAACCAATTCACAGAAGCTAAGAGTTCTAACAACTAATTTCTTCTTGCTTTTAAGCAGCTCAAGGCCAAATTTTGATAAAAGTGGAAATTAGTTTCGTTATTTGACTGGGGGGGGAAGACTTTTTTTGTGAAAAATATTTTGTTTACTTCACTGCCTCATTTAGGAAAACTATCAAAACTTATTTCAACAAGAATTGAATAGCTCATTAAGCCGCTGATAAATTTAATCCCAGATTTGATCAAAAGCCCAAGGTTATAAACGAGTGAAAATTTCAACTGGAATTTCTGTTAAAAAAATTAGTTCAATTACTTAACTGCGGTTGATTAAGTTTGAGGGGTAACATTACTACATATTTAATTTTTTGTATGGAATTTTTAACTAATCAAAAGAGAAAGGCTTTTTTTCAATGCAAGAGAAACCTTAGTTGTATGGTTCCAATGTACTAGGCCATTTTAAAGGGATACTCAACATAGACCTCTGCTTGCCACATGAATGCATACAGACAATTTTCTTTATTAATCAAAAGATATGCCCGTGACAAGCTAAAGGTGGCTGAACAATGATACCTGCAATATTCAACAGTAAACAGAAATTGCACTAGCACAATCCCTTAACAATTAAAATAATCTTGGAATGGCATTGTTTTAGTAACATTACTCCACACTCACCAACAATAACCTCAACAGCTACAGGGAAGTCATCATCACAATCCATCTCTTCTTCCTCCTTTGTTTCCTTCTTTTTTAGTACCATTGGATAGAAGTATTGCCATTCTTCAATCAATTTCCTTGTAGCTGGATCAGACATCTTGTATGTCTGTCCTGTAAGTGTGCCATTCAGTCCAAACGGGCTAATGATCACTGCGAAAAGCACATGATATTTTGAATTTTTTTTTTCAGAAAAATAATAATCTTTTCTGGTATTGAGGCTTAATGTAGCAATTTTTTTCAGAATCATGAACTAGTGCTCAAAATAGTCCAGATGCATTAGATTGAGGTTTGGGTTTCAAAGTATATCAAAAGTCATTCCAAAACTACATTCAGAAGAGTCACTTAATTCTCAAAAACAAAAGATTTCTGTAGGTACCTCCATTAAATCTGGATTTAGTAGCAAGACCAAGTCCATGCATGTTTCTAGCATACAACAAGACAAACTTTCACAGGATTAATCTCGCCTATCCCCCAAAACAAAACACATCAGACCCCTGGCATCAATCTCCTTCCTCGGCCACTGTCTCAGTTTGAGCAAGGCTGTACACAACCTTGGTATTCTAAGCGATCCTAAAGAAGCTTCCGAACATACATTTGCTCCATTGCAAACACCACCCAACTTCTTCAGCAACATCACTGAAACATTTTACAAATGTGTACAAACTCATTCCACTGATCCAACCTTGCATTTGTCTTATTGTCCGCATCTTTTCCAGCAACAAGGTTTCCACCTCAACACTTCAAAACTAAAAATTTGAACTTATTAAAATCCTATGCTAGTTTCATCCAGTCATGCTCTCTAAATCAAAAAAAAACTGTGGATGCTGGAAATCAGTCTAAAATTTTTTGCCGGAATTTGCCAGAAAAAACACAGGTCTCGCAGCATCTGCAGACAAATAGCAGAATTAACATTTCAGGTCCAATGAAGTTCTCCAGTTCTGAAGATGGGTCACTGGACCCAAAACATTAACTCTGATTTCTCTCCACAGATGTGACCATACCTGCTGTGTTTCTCCAGGGATTTCTGTTTTTGTTTCTGCTCTCACCATTTAATTCACTATTCCTCAGACTTTGGGCTGTTGTATATATCCCTCCAGCACCGTAAAATATTGGTGAAAGCAGAAAGGTCAATAATTCCCTGCCTAATCACTCCACCTCCAGTTTGTCCTTTAGTCCCTCCTTGAGAGTCTAGGACAAGTTTTTGGTTATCCTTCTGACTATCTCCTTCTCCAGCTTGGTCTCTACTTTAGACAAAGACTAAAACTCTTGGGAATCTCATTCTATATGTTATTACAACATAAATGCCATCAGCTTTGCGCTCAGCACAAAATGCTAATGCACTGAGCTTAAAAATAAATATGAACATATAAATTAGGATCAGGAAAAACCATTCAGCCCCAGCCATGCCATTCAAGATCATGGCTGATGGAATTGTCACCTCAACTCTACTTTTCAATCTACCCATTTACTGATTTGCTTGCCAATCAAAAATCTAACTCAATTATGAACATAATTGATGATTTAGCTTCCTCTGCTCAGTACAACTTGAAGTCAAGCATAGCACAAAGTTTTAAAGAACAATGAAAATAAGCATGCGCCCGAGAAGCAAGGCCTCTGAACTTCACAGAATATTCAACACGTAATTGCCGAGTCTCACTTAGTTCAAACTTCTACAATCTTAAAAAATGACAAAAAAGCAGAAGTATTGTTAGCATAAACGGCACTTCAGATTGCAAAGCTCAACTTAATTTGTTACAGAAAAATATTTCAGTAATCAACCTTGGAAAGGTGTGGCTGATGATAGTGCCATGTTGATGTGCTCTTCATTAACAAGGTACACAGGTTGGTGTTGGGCAATTTCAACACTTGTGCAGACATTGCTCTCTCCGTGCAGAAAGAAGGTGAAGGAACAGGAAAGGTGTTCACTGTGAAAGAATACAATGGAGAAATCAATACAAGTTATTACTGTTTAATTCTTATCTTTTTCAAGAACTAAAGGAAACAAAATAATGGTAAATGGAGAAAAAAAAAACACTAAAGAAATGATGGATCATTATAGTTCCTAAGTTAATGCAACAAAAAGGGAGGGGAAAAAGGAGGGGAGTAAGAACATAAGCATTAAATATAAACCATGATCAGTGCAAAGATTGTTTATGATCCGGCAAAAATCTAGGTGCTGTTTCAAGGTTCCTATTAAGATGTAACTGTCCTAAGAAATGCAAATCAAATACAGAACACGAGGAAAATTTATAAGTTACTTACCATCAGGGGAGTGACTTTGTTTTTAAAAATGAAATTTCTCAAGTCATCTTTTACACGTTAAAAATAGTTGATTCAATTTTGGCCAAAGGGAAATTAACACCTAAAAATGAGCAATGCATCTTTTGGGTTAAGGATGTATCTAAAGGATGGTAAGAACTGGAGCAGATCACAACTGATGCTTGTAGAATGGAATTAGCATCCATCCTAAAAATCTTGTACTAAATCGGTTTTATTTTTAGTGCAGTATTTCACATTCCATTAATTCCATTACTGTACTATCTTCAAAACTTGCCAAGTTCGAAAACAAAATGCAGAAGTTAGCTGATTTGCATTCTGAATGCAAACCAGGGACCTAACCAGTAATGTCAGCGAAACCTGCCCACACCAGAATCAAAACTGAAAGTTGCGTTTTTTTCAAAAAAGTTACATTTGTTTTTGTATGTGAATAAAAACTGAAGCCATATAAGGATGTGCATTTTATGATGAGTACATAATTATGATGTTCACAAATAAGACATATCATCTGTTTAATGTTTCAAATAAAAGTTTACTTTTAATAAGATTTGAAACTTACAACATTACGTAGCACAAAGATATGACCATTTTAGACAAATCAAGTGATGTTTTCAAGATCTGTAAATAAACTGACCTCCATGTTTAGCACTACTTATCAAGACGTACCAAGACAAAAGAAAGTAAACACTAACTGTTAGAGTGCTCTATTAAACAGCTGAAGTTATGATTTTACTACTTACAATTCCTGTGCAAGAACACAGATAATATCATACAATATGCATCACATTTTTAAAGCTGTGGAATAATGTCCCTGATGCAAACCACTGCCCTTTTGATAAAACAGATGTCAAAAGTTTAAACTGCAAATAAACCAGCTATGGGTGAATAGTTTGTGCACGAGTTTTGTCCCTTATGAACGGCATTCAATTTAGCACAGGGCTGCAGGAATCAGCTGCAGCATTAATCAAAACATGGAAGAAAGCTCGAATACTAACAAACTTATTAAGTACATTCCAACTTTCCAGACAGAAATTTAAATTTAAGCACCAAGATGAGCTGTAGTTCAGTACTAAATGGAGCTCTGTAGCCAATTCTGGCATTTCAGTATTGCTATCAAAAAAGGATAACTGAGATTTATTTTTAAATCTTGGAGGTTGTTTTACAACTGTGCTTGGAACTCAAAATGTATGTTTCCAAATCGCCTGTTCATCAGTTCTGGCAAAATATCAAATTCCACAACCACATAAAAATGTTTAGAACAGATGCCAATTTGTTTCATTCAAACGACAGATTTACTGCAGTCCTCTATGGGGTTGGATTGAATGTCGTCTGTTAAGAGCAATTGTTCACTATGTACATGCCAACCTAGCTAGAAATAACAGGAGTAGAATTAGATTTCAGTGAATAATAAAACTGCATTGAATGTACTCAAAACAGATTCTAGCCAAAAGGAATTTTAGTTCAGTACTGAGCAATAGATGTGCAAAGTTGCATTTAATGCGTCATCTATAGAATTTACAGCCAAGTAGTCAACACAATTTTTGCCTGTGTAACTTGGCAGATAAGAAAGACTGGCATGGCATTTAAAGGATTTATCTGGAAACAAGTCAACAAGGGTGAAGGAAGACATGAAGTTTCTTAATTTCATGCCAATCTCCAGCCTAGCCCTGCCATTTTATAAACATGGATGAAAGCAAGCAAACCTGTGGTCATTAACGATTTCTACATTGGTACATAATTATTAGGCTTATTCCTGGAGATGAACTGGATTGATATTAAAAAAGTCCATTTTGATGGAGTACTTAAATTCAAAATACTTGTATGTATATATCGATATGTAATGTTCATTTTACAAATGATATTTTAAAAAAGGCAAGACAAAACTTAAAATATTGTGTAATATGCACATATTATACCATTACATATCTGGCCGCACACAATAATGCAACTAAATGGCTTGTCTTTGCGAGTCAATAATCACAGCTCTGGATCAATACAACTATTGAACTACACAATCTAACTCAAAACAGTTAAGTAAAATCATAAATTACTGTTACTCTAGAACTGAACCTATTTCTAGTGTATCACACATTAGCAAAATTGCTTGTTACCATTACTTCATAATGACAGTCAATACGTTTTCTTTCCAGCAATGAATTACTTGATTTATCTTCCATCAGTCCCCAGCTACCCTCAAGCATTTTAAAAATGTGAACGCTGTGCAATATTCACAAATCTTGCGGCACAATATTCTAATCCCTTAAAATATAAAATGCTTTCTTTATTTTCCAAAAAACAAAATGGCACATTGACATAATTGAAATTAAATGGGGAAAAAAAATCTTTCTAAGGAGTTTTTCGTTTCTTTATTGGTCAACTTCACATGATTTTCAAAATTCTCATCCTTTGAGATACTTCTTCACGGTCTGTAAAAGAATGCATGATGATCTTTCACCTTGTGTTAGATGATCATTGCTGTTCCAAACATGTCCAGATTTTGAAATAAGTATTTAAAAATACTACTCCAGTTGTTTTTCTCTAGTCCACACCCCACCCCAAATCCAGTTAGCAGCTACTGGTAATACTGTAGCACTGCCATTTACACCTCATTCAGAGTCCTCTTTTGTTTCTTTACCCCTCAGCAGAATCTGTTTTTGTCTTGCACCATCTTCGCTTTGGCACTCTTTTGTCCTCCACCCTAACAAAGGCCTTCCTTTTGTAGTTGCTTAAATCCTGTTGACATCTAACTTTTTCTACTGGTGGTGAAAAGTCACTGATCTGAAACTAAGTGCATCAAATATTTCCAGTTTTATTTCATTTTAGGCACACACATACAATGTCTGCAACACCCTACTGCCATGAATTACACCAAGTTATTGTGGATTTTCTCCACATCGCTTAGCAGCAGCATTCCAAAATCCATAACGGAAACAATCTATACGCTTCATTTTTTAAAAAACTGCCCCCAAAACTAACATTTAGTTCTGATACAATTTAGCCTTGATGAGCCAAATGGTTTTCTGTGCCATAATGACCATGGCTATGCATTAATTTCTTTAAACCTATATTAAATCTGAGAATATCCAGTCAATACCTGCAATTTTATACTTAGTAATAGCTTTTTAAAAAATACATAGGCAGTATCTAATGTACTTTAAATCAAAAGATTTTCCAACTCCAAGACTGACCAGCATTTGCTTTGAAGCCCAGAGACCCCACTACACGCGGCACAGTGGCTCAGTGGTTAGCCCTGCTGCCTCGGTGCCAGGGACCCAGGTTCAATTCTACCCTCGGGCGACTGTCTGTGTGGAGTTTGCACATTCTCCCCGTGTCTGCTTGGGTTTCCTCCGGGTGCTCCGGTTTCCTCCCACAATCCAAAGATGTGCATGCTAGGTGGATTGGCCACGCTAAATTGCCCGTAGTGTTCAGGGAGGTGTGGGTTATAGTGGGGTGGGTCTGGGTGGGATGCCTTGAGGTTCGGTGTGGACTGGTTGGGCCGAAGGGCCTATTTCCACACTGTAGGGACTCTATGATACAGCACTGCAAAGAAGTAACACTTTGTCAAGTGAAAGGGGTTTAATATATTTAGCATGCATCTTGAAGCAGCTTTGCAAATGGTTTATTGCCAATGATGAAACACCATTCACACACAGTGCCACATACATCGATAAGGCAAAACCTGGAGAGATATTCAGATTTTTATATGAACCTATTTATTTTTCTGGAATTGCTAACAACTTTCATTCATTAAAAGATTAATTCAGTAAATGTCAACCCTTACTTTATTAAACGCCCAATTTAGATCTTATGTCATCTTAAAATACATCCAGGATGGAATAAATTCACAGAGATAGTAGGAACTGCAGATGCTGGAGAATCCGAGACAACAAGGTGCAGGGCTGGATGAA